CCGCGAAATTGAATCCAATACAAAAACTACGCGACCCCACCGCAGATTGAACCGAAGACAAATGAACTCTACTTTTTCAACAAATTGTCTCTGGAAAATGGATGCGATCGTTCTCTAGCAATGGAGTTAAATCAATGATGCTGAATACCAATTTTATTGCGTCGGTGTTTTATGTTTTCAGCTTTTATTGTTAAGTTTGATGTTATTGAATACGTTGTGTACCAAAAACGTTACACAAAAACCAAAGTTAAGGAAGTTCTAAAAATATTTTCATTGTATATTATGTATTATTATTACACTACGTTAGTATTTTCCTGTTTGAAAATGGTACGGAGATAAAAATATATCGATTCTTATTTTATTTCAATGATTAGTCAATTGGAGATACTTGTATTTCACATGTGATTCAACCCTTAGAAGTTTACCACGATAAGTTCGTCTTTTGTAGCCTACCCTATTTCTATGTATAATAAAGTTGTTCATAAATAGTAAACTTTCCTGCTATAGGTGTCTGATATGAGTTCGTTCGTTCGTTCGTCTCAGCCGAAAGACGTCCACTGCTGGACAAAGGCCTCAAAGTCAAAGGACAAAGACTGATATGAGTAAGTTAATTTAACTTTTTCTTAACTTTGAATCACGAAACTATCTTTCTATAGGACAATCACCACTAGACTATGTTCATCTGGGAATTGCAGGCTGAGTATAGCGTAAATGATGCCCATGGTGGATCCCCAAAGAGCATTGATTACCGGTATTGTGTGGAAAAGTGCGAGGTCGGGAAGCCCTTTCGATGGTGTACTTACTAAGTACGGATAGAAAAATATGTGTATTTTATTGAAATTCTTCTTTGCCTGACCCATTCCCATTTTATTTGGGGTCGGCCTTCTGCGTCATGCGTCTCCAGGTGAATCGGTCCTGGGTTATCTTACTATTAACTTGGGATTCTTTAAGGTTGTTATTGATTACGGACATCCATGTAATTCATTGTAGTGTATTTTATTGAAATTAACCGAATATCTTTTGAAATAAACTGTAACACAATACTTACTTTATTTAACTTTTCAGTGTCTAATCTAAGAATCGATAAAATCTTATCGATGATATTAGACGACAAATATATCGCGTAAAATCGATAAAAGCTTATCGCGGTGCGCATCCTAGGACCTAGGCCTAAGGTCAGGATAGTTAAATTAGACCAAGGCGTTTAACTTAGAAGTTAGAACTACTTAGTTTTACTAAAGATACAACATCGAAAAACTTACTTACGTAACATCTTCACGAAGCTCGTTAGTTAAAATTAATTGTTCTGCGTTAACTTCTGTGCCAGCTGTACCAAGTTACAGCCAAATCATTGGGAGTTACCTTTATTAAAAGTTGTCCTCTAGTTTGTAACAAACTCTTGAACGGACGTGGTTTTTGATATATCAATTTTGAGTTTATTATAAAACTTTATGAGCTCAATATTTCGATACAGAGTCAAAGCACTGTAAGTTGTTAACCCTAGAATAGGGGTCGGCAACCTGCAAATCGTGATGTAAGGTTGTGACCCTTGAGATCCTTATTTTATTACAAAAACTCCTTAATAAAATACTTATTTCAGTAAAAACTAGAAAGTGTACATTGTCACTTTTGGCTCTTCCATCTCAAAGGTTGCCGACCTCTGCTCTAGAATGATAACTTATTTTTTTTTTATGGACCACATTTGGATGTCGGTGATACTGAATTGAAATGAACAGAACTGAATAAAAATATTACTGAAAAGATAAAACACTGTTCACGAAAGCAGTCAGAGGCATCGCATTACATAAAACGTGTGACGAATTTGCCGATTTCAGAAAATGCCATGGGATTCAAATGAGTAATACGGAACAAAGAAGTCCAATTCACGCAATAATTACTTGTAAAAAACAAACACGAAGCGAAGGTTCACAACGACCTAATGTTGTGATTTTAGGGTTAAGCTCCTAAAACTTTGTTAATACCCTAAATACTTCAGAATTCGGGCAATCATCATCACGAACAGGGTCTGTCCACTAATGCGCACCTAAGCCCTGTGGTTTTCTCTAAGCAGGGTTTTTCGACCCTTTTATTTCGACTCATTAATTAATAGAAAATCTCTTAGGCCCAGAACTGACGGTGAAACGCAACTACAACAAAACTGCAACTGCTAGTTACTTTTGAGTTACATCTAAAGTTTCTGCCATAGCGTCCGTTGAGAGACCACACATGACGCGACCAGTTTGAAACTTTCAGTTCCATTCATCAGAATCATCAGAAAGTTGCGGTTTCGTTGCAGTTGCGTTTCACCGTCTGTTCTGGGCCTTAGTGACAGTAACAATGGTGTTTTAGTTTTATTGTCATTTTACGAATTCCTTGGAAGTAAGTTTTTCTTGTGGTTTCATGATGAAGTATTTTTTAAAACAACTTGTCAATCAATCAACAACACTACAATACTTTATTGCTTCACCACATTAGCATTTTAATTTAAATTTTACACTTTAGTTAGAACATAAAAAAATCATACCAACCGAATTGAGAACCTCATTCTTTTTTTGAAATCGGTTTAAAAACAAGATTTTTGAAGTACAATCTCCTTCAAAGTAGTTTACAATTCAATTGTAGCATTGAAACAGCTTATTACAGCATACTTAACGTTCAACTACCCTCAAGAGAATGTTCGGAATATCAATTGTATCTTGCATAGATTATTTTCCATAGAAAACTTCATTAATTTATTCTTTCTTTAATCTGATTATTTATGGTCAAAATAGTTTTGTTGAATAATAACACTGCGGATTTGTTAAAAATTATAATTTAATAATAAAAAAAACTAAAAACAACAATGGCAATTGAGTTAATGACATTGAAATAAATCACTATACACGAATAAACAATATCTTCAAAAGATATTTGCTAATTACATATTTATATCCTTAATTAGGTACATTTATTTTTTGATTGCCCAGTTTTAAGAAAATATTTTCTATGGCACATTTTAAAACTTTTGTATTTTATGTATCTGCAGCTGGTTTTATAATTTTAATTAATCTCACCTTGTTTAAATAACAATTTAATACATGACACGCTATAATGTAAGCCTGACATTATATCAATTACTACATTATTATAGCATACAGGGTGAAAACGACAAGAGTGATATCACACTCGTTTTTTTCTAAACTATACAAGATATAGAAAATCTGCTTACTAATCCTGAAAGTCCTTCACGAGCTCTATCAAAACGTTATCAATATAATAATAATAATAATTAATAGTTTACAGAATAAAATGGATCTATCCGAAAATTCCATGTTTCCAGCTTCCATACATTTAAGACAGAGTGAATGATCACGTATCGTTTCTACCCTGTATAATGTTGTATCGTATGGGCAGGTTAGGCACAATAAAAGCGTGTCGTCAAAAACTTCATATCGTATTGTACATACTCCATAATAATGATGTCGATCGTAGTTACAATTTGTTCTGATATACCGTTACTATACTTTGTTCGAATATAAAGGCCAATATTAAGCTACATATAAGAAAAAAATATTCTGTCTGACGAAAAAAAATCTTAAGTGTATCGTTTAAATGTCAAAGAACAATTGATAACAAGCTGCAGAAACTTGGAACCTTTCGACGAGATTCTTTTGTGAAGTGGCAGTTGTTTGACGATGTACAGACGAGCACATCAGACTATACATTTCATTGCAAATTCGCCCATATTACAAGTAGATAAGAACCCACAGTGTTAAGCTTGACGTACTGACTTCTGTACAAGAAAGGCAGTTTGGACTCTTTAAATTTTAATGATTGTTGTTTTGTATTTCACTTTTGTACAACATATGTTTCAAACAACATAGTTCTCACAGCAAACAAAATTGTTCTAACAACATATTATGAATGATGGTGTATCACTTAGACATCACGTCACCTAGACCAAACAAAAAGTCATCACATAAATGGGCTATTTAGAATATGCCTATCAGGCTAATGGTTTGAAGTCTCTAAGCCTAAAACACTCTTAACTTAATAATTTAAACGAAAATACAGAGCTACTACATACATACATACATACATATTTAGAAATACAGAATCACCGTGAATCACCAAATCATCCTGACCGAATGAAATTATCGCCAGAACTGCAACTTCACACAAACAAAGTAATGAACTGGATCAGATTAATCAACCAGGCCGCCCCACAGGGAATCGAACGTGTTACCACTACACTACTTATACCTTTGTACAATTGTACCTAAATATAAATACATTTATATTAAAGCATTTACAGTTTAATACACATTTTCCATTAAATAATAATTACATAAATTCTGTACAAGTTTCAAGTAGGATTATAAAACGATAGATTTACATTTATCGGCCATTTTGGCACATAAATTGTTATAGCAGTGTAACGAATTTGATAACAATAATGACTATAAAATAATCATTAAATGTTATCAATCGTTTTCATGATGAGTTGTCATTTTTTAAAGGTTTGTGTTTATAAGTTACAAGCATTACAACTGCCACCTGGCAGTTATACTTGGTCCTCTAGCACCTTTAACCTTTTTAAAACAGCAGACAGGCCGAGCATATTGAGTGTGCACGTGCATGGCTCAAATAAAATTTACCAAGTTATTTATGATACTGGTACAGATCACCATTTCAACAAAACCCAAGATTCCTATGCTCAATGACAGACACATCTTACTTCTTGAGGGAGTGGTTCGCCCTGAGGGTTACAGAGGTATCCCAGATATTCTAGTTAGATTAGATTAGATATCCTGGATAGCTGGGTTAGTACTCGGCAGAATAAGAAGTAGAAGTACGCGGCCATCTCTGATCTTCTTGAGACATAACATAATATAGTCTGATGATGTACCAACAACTTCTTGATGGAGCGGTACCCTCTGAGGGTTACAGGCGTATCCTGGATATTTAACTGAGTAAGTCCGTAGTAAGCTAGGTACCTCCTCGGATCTTCTTGAGGAACTTCAACAGAACCCAGGATTCGTATGCTCAATGACGCATCTCTTACAGTACTTCTTGACGGAGCGGTACCCTCTGAGAGTGACCGGGGTATCCTGGATATTTAACTGAGTCAATCCACGGCAGTAGTAAGCTACTGCCTCCAGTCCGTCGTCTCCTACCAGCTCGCACCCGCGGAGGGCCAGCTTCTTGAGGTTGGGACAGCATCGAGCGAGGATCTGGAAGAGAGACTATGTTAAAAAACAAAACTAGGCGACGCATTCAATCCAAATATACAGTATGTTACTTGAAGTTGACTTTAATTTATTTAAAAAAATTGCTTTGAAATCATTATCATCAGTCTTCTACAAAACATAGAGTTATCTAACATCCTACAACCGATTGATATTGTTAAAGGCCCTACGGCATCATTTGCCGTGAAGCAGTCTAGGCTCCATAGGGTTCGCTGAAATCATCATCATTCAGCCACAGGACGTCCACTGCTGAACATAGGCCTCCCCCAATGACTTCCACATCGCACGGTTATAGCGGCCAGTGCATTTGTCAATAGCTCATACTCATTAGTGAAGTATGTACGGTAAGGCTAGATAGACGGAATGCACTCTAACAGAAATTGCAGTTTAGATGTAACGACTGCAGTAAAACTGCAAACCATTTGTAAATTCCGCTGTTTATTGCAGTTCTCTGCTTAAATCCTTTGCTGTCGTTCTCCATTTAATGTACTAACCTGCAGTCCAGCTTGAGACACGTCAGTAGCCTCCAGGTCCAAATATGCCTTAAGTCGAGAACAGCCTCTAGCCACGGCCTCCATACCATCATCGTCAAGCGCCCGGAAGATTCTCACGTTAGCTATCCGTTATTTCCATTCAATATACAAACCTGCAGCCCAGCTTCAGACACGTCAGTGGCCCCCAGGTCCAATGCCCTTAGCCGGGAACAGCCCCTGGCCACGGCCTCCACACCATCATCGCCCAAGGCTCCACAACCCCTCGCGTTGAGGTAGCGCAGCTTGTAGCAGCGACGGGCGAGCGTTCTAATGCCGGAGTCCGATACCTGTGGAGATGATAAACTTTAGTTAACGTTTACCAAAATACGTCCACTGCTGGACTCCCTGGAGCTCTCTCTTCCTCAAGATTAGTCTATTAACCGGTCGTGTAGTGCATCAACCGCATAAATATCAACTACCGGACAAAGGCCTCCCCCAAGGATTTTCCCAGGAGTCAGTGCCCAGAAGCTTCGTGACCCTCGATGATTGAACAATGAACAACATTCACTCACGCTTCTAACAATGTTTTATTCGTAGGTTTATCCAACATACTCTTTTTTACTTTTGTGTATTTGGTAAATATTTCGGTAATAGTAGACTTCACTCTTCCTCAAAACAAACAATTGCATAAGAAAATATTCCGCTTAGTAACTATTACTAATGGATTCGCAAGTTACAATGACGACACACTAAACACTGGCCATGAAAGCATCAAATATCGGCAATTAATCAACGAACGAGAGCAATTTGTCATAACTCTATGGGAAACCGCACATTACGCTGAGAGCATAATATAATGGGATTTGTTCCCCTAATATCGAATCTAATAACTATAGTCGCGGCAATAGTTCTCGGTAATTTGGAAAGCTATTGAAACAAAGAGTTGAAGAATGTCAGTATGTCAAGATTGTAAATCAATTTATTGAAGCCTTACAAAGTTTAATGTTGGTCGGGCTGATTGTTCTGCAAAATCGCCGAAGTCTACTTAATTAAGGCACAGAATAATAATAAGTCACAGACCACACAACCTAGTGGTCTGTGTAGTACTGTACAAGGCATGATTTCAACACGATTCGGTAAAAATTTTAAGAAGAAAAGTAAGATGGGATTTTTCATTTTGTGAGACCGATTGAACAAAAAATCTAAGTTATTAATAGAGATAAAATGTTGCAACTTTCTATACGATATTCTCGTCGAATTCGGGACTTGAAAAATGTGGTTTTTAGAAACATTGCAATGTCATTCCTATATTTCTAGCATCTGTATCTAAGCATAGGTTTCAATAGCATTATTGCTCACATATTTGTGCCTCCACGCTTTCATTCTATAACCATTCCATCCGATATTCGGGCCTCGCTGATGCTTATGCGTATCGGAAAACGATAACATTATATTGAAATGAAATCAATTACTGCTTTTTGCAGGAATCGATATTGTTTGAATTAAACAAATTTTTACGTCGGCGCACTCCAAAAATGGAGCCCCCATTTATGCTAGGTTATACAAAAACTTATAGAATATAGATAAACTAATTATGAACTCAGGCAATCAAAACAACTAAGTGTAGAAATCTGAAATTTTCATTTGGAACGCCTTTGGGGATTCCTCGTAATTTCTCAATGGATATCCGAATAGGTACCTAAACTTTAAATAAACCTATGTACTTTTTCTTTTTTCTCCCAATTTGTATGACCCAGCTAGATATCGAACCCTATGATATCTCTAGTGTCCAACTAAGTATTTATCACGAAGACGTTATAACTATTAGCTACAGGTACACTAAGCAGGTACAAGAATTTCATGATGAAATTCTTCCCAATATTCCCCTCCCAAAATTCTTAAGCGATCCTTTCTGGAAGCTTCGTAAGAAATGTATCCAACCAACAGTCGATACCTCAGACTATTCTAAAATAGTCCCTATTACAAAGACATAAGATGCTACAGAATTTAAGTTGATGTGCACTTGTTTGTATTAGGGATGTTATGGATATCCGTAACCGTAACCGAAACTTTCGGATATACGAAATAAATAAATATCCGTAACTATAACCATAACCGATTCAAAGGTTTCGGATAGTTTCGGATGTAGGCAGAGTCAAGCAAGTCCCTACGCTGGTTCAATGATTGCATTTTGAATGAGTTTTTTCCCATAAGATAAAAGCTTTTTTGTAAGACCAAAAGAAGATGGCACATTGCGAAGAAATCTCTTCTGTACCCATTCTATTCGTAAGGCACGAACTGTTTTGGACAACTATTGGAATTTGCATTCTACACTTAGCACAGATATCCGTAACCGTAACCGAAACCGGTATAATATTATTCCAATATCCGTAACCGTATCCATAACCAAAACTACATATCCATAACATCCCTAGTTTGTATAACACTCCATTTAAAGCCAAAGCACACGATGCGTTGCGCACTGCAAATATTTCTTCGCCATCGCGTGGCGCTGCGCCGCACCGCTCGTGTGCCCGCCACAGATATTTCTATGTAAGACGACGCAGCGACACCGCTCCGGCATCGCACGCCGCCGCAACGCATCGTGTACTTTGGCTCTTAGTTTACCAACCCATTCAGAAAGGAGGTGCACTTAGAGTGCAGCGAAAAACTATCACAATCAGACGCAACTGCAAAATAGAGCTCGGAGCTTAGAAAATATTTTAAAGAAAGTTTAGTTCTGATGTAGTACGGTAGGTTACTTACTATTAAGTAAGGTGGGTTTTTGCAGTGAACGTATTTTGAAAGGTGTTTATATAAAGTCGTCTTTACATATCAAAAGAAAACAATTAACATAAAGTAGAGCGTAGTTAATGTCTGTGAAACTTTCGATGACTCTTTTATAATGCGAACAGTTAGGGACTGGAACTGCTGCGGTCTTTCCGAACACTATAATCCGGGCCTTTTCAAGGCGAAAGTGAAGAGGCACTTACAGGGCAGATATACATATCACATGGTACACCATGATCCTAGACTGCATCTCACTTAACATCAGGTGCGATTGCGGTCAAACACCTGCCTTGTCTTGCATAAAAAAAAAGAAATCACTTTGATAGAAACACTTGAAAATTACATAACTCACTCAATAAAAATCTATAACGCGCCCTGTTTGTTATTCCCCTTATCCACTACCAACAGACATCGAAAATAAAAGTTGGATACCTAATCCGCTAATGGGGGACGACGCTACTAAAATCTTCCAGGAGTTTACCCCTACTGGTGGACACTAAGAAATAATTTGCTTTGTCTCTCAAAAAGTTCCATTACATTTCTATTGGTTTTCTCTTCAAATGTGGTAGGGAAAAACGGGAATAGACGGTTTATTTATGTTGTCAAAACCCTACGTCATCACTCACCTGAGTACACTTCGCCACAGAAAGATATCTGAGCGCGGGCCCTAGTTTGGCCAGCTCGTAGAGTCCGAAGTCCGTGACGCCGGTACAGTCCGACACGCTGAGCTCTTTCAGCGCACAGTACGAGGGTATCCACCGGACTCCCGCATCTGAAAAAAGAAGTATATCTTTACCAATATTATCCAATATAAAAAAAATATATACTCAACATCAAATAAACCGCACCTTCCGTGACTCGAACTTTAACGATTTTCTTCTGACACAATCATGGTGCCCCAACAATATTGGTGTTATTTGAAAGCCCAACAAATATCCTTAAAGAAAAACACATTTAATTTCTTAATAAATGATTAACATATACCATCAATGTGACTTGAAAAAATACCTCACTTTGGGCCCACCTATGGGATTAATTAGACCAATTTTTATGGTTATAAAACCAAACAATGATCTCACGTGTCCTCTTTAACAGATGGAAAGCGATTAATCCCAACTTAACAGTTTTATAGCCATAAAAGTTGGCTCCAGCCTAACTACCTATTTTTTGAAGAAGTGACTCTGGATCCTTCTAAAGACACATTTTTGGGGTAAAAACCTTTCCTTTAATGCAATGAAGGTTAAAACTAGGCTTTTAAATGGTGCCAATATTGGTGGGAAGTGGGGAAGCATACGTTTGAAAATGCTTGTCGCGGGAGTTGCAATTTATTTGATGTCGAGCTTATTAGGAAGGATTTGAAAAAAAAATTGTGTGTTGGATAGCCCATTCATCGAGGGAGAACTAAGTCTATATTTATACATGCATGTAATAATATCTTGCTATGGCCAAGGAGAATATTAAAATTATTTTCACGCATACGAAGTCGCCGGCACAACTAAGCAATTGAATAAATCTCTTTGTCAAATACTGAGATGACTCCTGCAGGACACAAAATGAAAGTTCTGGAAGTTTTTAATATTAAAATAAAGATTTCTGTTAATATTTCTTGCTCATTCCAAACATTANATTCCTTTTTCTCAACGACTAAACAAGTTTGACAAGACCTTGTGATACGACCGAGAATCTTTTTTTAAATAAATAAATGGTATACGATTTTTAAAACCCTGGAGTTTGTAATTAAATAGATTTTAATATGACTGGAACAGTGGAAATATTCCATTCCCGATACTTTTAGTGCAGCCCTCGTAATATTCAAGTAAGCTACTTTTCAGAACTTTTATTTAGTTGTATATTATTATTTTCTCAAGGGTAACCCCACTTTGAAAAGTTTCAAACTTCCAATTGAGATGTACCAGAAGTGAATGAATTCTGGGTAGAATATTAAACGCAAATTGACAAAGTAAAGGAACATGGAAAGTTTAGGGAAGAGTCAGGGAAAATTGAGTTAGTAAAGTTATTGAGGTGGCATAAATCAAATATAGGAAGATGCCCGTGTGCTTAATGAAACGAACACCATCATATGAGAAATAAAATTAATGGTAAAAGTACTGGTAATTTTTAATGTACACTACATATTTTAAGCTATCTAATTATCTAATCAAGCTAAATGTATCTAGTCAATCGGTTGGAGACGACTGAACTACGATTCCTCGAATCCTCGGACTGAGGAATCCTAGTTATCACCATGAAAAAAAAGAACACATGAAACACGAGTTCACAGGCATTGTTTGAGACTAAAGTTGTCAACTCCTAATTATTTCATGTTCAAATCGTCTGCCACACATCCTTTTAAACTAAACTCCAAAGCTAAGTTCCCAAGAACATAATTTGTCCAATGTAGCTCTGCTAATTAGCTTGCGTCAAATCCACTATTCTACGAAAACTATAATGTATTTCGTTATACTATAGCACAAACATTTTAGCAAACTACCAAGTCAAAGAGCGAAGATTCTTGAATACAATTATAGACGCTCCCGAACGCAAATGGAAAGAAAATATTATGAAAATTGCTAACATCTGTTTGACTATTAGGAGCGCAACACAATGAAAATAAAGATAGAAGGCTTATGCTGTAGGTACACAACCGAATTGAGAATATCCTCCTTTGGTTAAAGTCGGATAAAAATGGGACCAAACTGGCGACTGGATTCTTTATGGTTTGCGATATTTCAGAAATGTACACGTTCTCTCAAAAGAACTAATGCTTTAAGCTTTAAGGGATATTTGTTTTCTCCTTACATACTGTAATTGATAACCGATACATCTTACATAAAGTAATTGATAACCGTTATGTTTTCTTTGTATAATAATATACTCGCATCTTTCACTAATCTTCCTTTATGAAACTAGTGTTGGGAAACTAGAACTGAAAAGAGCCAAGATATTTCAAATTAAAAATGTATATGGAGGTACTTAATATGGTACATTTTGATTGCTTACATAATTGGTTGAAAATCCACTACTGCAGTGATAATCGCTCTCCCTTTAAAGGGATAGTTAGGGATAAAAATATTTCCTGCATCTTCATAAAAGGAACTGAACCAACTGTATATGGGCCCTAATAGCAGTTCAACCTTTAACTTATTGCAAATCTAATAGAGACATACCGTGTACTTCTGATTATAGAAAATAGGTATAATTTACTATAATGGTAATATTGATATTTAATGGTCAAACCACAGGTGCGGTAGAAATGTTGCGGACTTAATGCAAATTTAATAACCGTAGATTTATGCAGACCCTATGAAGTAAGCCTGAGTGTCCACTGGGAGATAAATTCCGTGGAGGTTAAGTTTGAGATACGCGTGATTTCTTTGATTTATTTAAATATGCGCGAGTGTTTCTTAACTACTACTACATTATTATAATCGGTACTGCTTGTGACTGTGACTTGAGCCACTGCTTATAGTATATAGTTAATAAGTGGATTAGCATATTTTATACAGATATAAAATAACATGATCATTCATTTGCAGTTATTACTTACTAAAACTATGTGTGGCTTATTTAATCTGACTATTCGAATTTGAACATGTTATAATGTGAATGTGAATTATTGCACCGCCTTAGTCTCTCTACTTGACCTGTGGTTGACTGGCAGATAATGCCACCTGAAGTCCGCCACTGTACAGTTGTATGTGCAAGTGTAAATAAATAAATAAATGTGCTAGATACAATCTTGGAATCACTGTTTCTTCTGTACTGGCCCATTTATTGTCCCGAAGCGTGGTAGGGTTAAAATAATACTATGACATGTAAAAGCTTTTAAAAGCCTATTTACAGAAAAAAATACTTTGTGACTTCACAAGAAACAAAAAGTCGAGGCCTGCACAATTTAGGCGGTTTTATTGGTACGATTATCAATAATTTTGTCATTATATTAATTAAGACATGCCATTGAATTAAAATCATTGATAGTTGTTCCGAAATCAATGTCGTTACAAAATGACAAATGTAATTATTGTCACAGTGCAAGTAATTAGTAAGCTATCAACATAATGTGAGGCCCATCATTACTCAAGTGAATGTGTCTGAATGCTATTGTGTAGCTCGAGCTTAATCTTGATATGTGGATAGTAGGCTTTATGATGATTTATTTGCAATACAGACGGCACAAGCTGCTAACACTTTTGAGTCTTGTGTAGTTGGAATAGGGTGCTGTTTTGCAATAAATGTATAGTGTGATGTGTACAAGGAATTCGCTGAATCATGCTTTGAACTGCCTTACAGCATTTCAGATAAACATATAGATTTATGTTGCAATATCGTACCTATTAGAACTGCATAAAGTGCAATAGAACTTAGCTTGATGTACATATGATAGGGTTGCCAGAACAAGAGAGATGCAGATTTTTAAGAATCAAAAACGTTTTTGAAATAAATGAAAAATATATTCCCTTTTTCTCTTCTAAACAGTTGTCTTGAAGAGGTCGTTTATTTATTATCTAAAAGATTGCCTAAATTATGTGGTCTTTTTGTATATTACTTTTCTTTTTCATCTTCTTTGTGGTACCTACAATAAAATGTGTTTTGTTATTTCAAAATTGGTCCCTTAGCATAATGTCTCTGACGTCCGTTTTCACCATCAATCCTTAATTTTTTAGTGACCCCTTTGAAATCAAATTCCTATTATCTATTACCAGAGTCACTAAAAATTAGGGATTCATGGTGAAAACGGGTATTAGTGGCCTTTTACGGAACCCCGAGAACAATATAGGTGGTCCTATACTCTACTGGAACCTCTCTGGATAATATTCAAACTAAAATGCACTCTACGCACCTGTGACTAGGGTACACCTTCGTAAATACAGGTACTGCAATGAAGGGCAAGTGTGTAGTAACGCGCATAGCCCGGCGTCGGTCACAGAGCCGCAGTCCGTCAGGTCTATGTACTCGGTCGGCGGCCGTCGGGTCGCTAGGCGGCTTTCTAACCAACCCCACTCGGGCCAGTCCACGTTTGGACAACCTGGAATATGACAATGAACATGTAGATTTCTTTATGATATTACGGTAGGGCATCAAGTGGCAGTGGTATCAAGTGGCAGTGGGCGGGGCACATAGCTCGTAGAGCTGATAGCCGTTGGGGCAAAAAAGTTCTCGAGTGGCGACCACGGGCAGGAAGACGTAGCGTGAGCAGGCCCCCCACTAGGAAGACCGACGATCTGGTGAACCTGGAAGAACCTAGATGCGGGCAGCGCAGGACCGGTTGTTATAGAAATCCTTGTGAGAGGGAGGCCTTTGTGCAACAGTGGACGTCATTTGGCTGAAACGAACGAACGTTTATGGTGGGGCAAGTCTACTTGGGGAAGGCCTATGTTCAGCAGTGCACGTCCTGTAGCTGAAATGATGAATTAACTACGGTCATCTAATAGTAAGTGATCCGCTCATTAACACCAGCTCCCTTAAACAAAATAACAAAAGCCCAATAGCTTCCTCGTTGTGGATAAAAAAAAATCGCTTCATAAAGCGAAATAACTAGGTACAAAAAGCCATATCGGAATTAAAACTCTATTATTGCATGCACCAACCAACTTATAATAAGGCAGCACTAAGATTAAGCTAAAATACGTTGTTAAGTTTTTTTATACTTAGTGTAAGTATGTCTTGTTAGTTGTCCCATTAAATACTTAAATCAATAAAATCTATCACGTATGTCACTTCGTCTAGAGAAACTGGTTTCATTAGAATCTACCTACTTGCCAAATATTTAAGGATATAACATTTTTGCATCAGTCAATACTCAATACTCAATATTTTGTTGCATCCATTATGTAGGTACTTACGTCACATGTGAAAATTGCTTCTTGTAAGGCAAACTTTACTTATAAATATGAACGACTTAGCTCGAAGTAAAATACTCAAACTTTTCCTTGATATTGATACCTCAAAATTAATTTCTGCGTCCGCAATCCGTATACAAAATTATGCCAGCTCATCTAAAAGTCAATATAGGAAAGGTTATAAAAAAGAGACCTGCTTTTACAGTGTGTTCTCATGAATATGAATTTTTTACCATACTCCGTTACAATAAATTCTTGTTTTCCTTATTTATACAGATAGGAGTAGGTACTAAAGGAGTACTAAATATCAACTTGACCAAAATGTAAATTTTCACATTGCGAGCATTATTTATTATTCGATATTAATTTCAAACTGTTTCAGTGGTTCCCAACATCTTTGTAATGGTGTACCTACTACAAAATAATATTAGTACTAAGCCAAGAACTAGAAACAATAAAATTCTAAGCTGATTGTTTTATGCAACTCTTCGACTAAAACTACTTATTTTGCCAGTAGTGTGACAAAATAAATAGTTCTAGTCGTTAGTGAGATATTTTGTTCTTTCTTACGAGTTAAACATCCTTAATATATTGTCGGATGATAGTCGCTGGGTCGTGAAAATAGTAACCTGTCGCTTCCCCTAAGGCGAAAGGTAGTAAACGTATTTAATTTAAAATGCAAAAAAAATTGGTCCGTGAACCCCAGTGTGAGAACCTCTGTATAATGCGTCATAGTCCTACGAGTGCACTATACTATAGTGTATTTCATTGAGTTTTATTACACTATTAAGGCGTTTACGCATAAAATTTTTACGACCACTTATAGCTGCATAATATTGCATTTTTCACACTTTGACAGTATGGGTGGACAGTACCATGTCCCCAATATCACTTGAGAAATCATTGGTTGTAAAAATATGGTTTTGTTTTTGTTTCGGAATAAAATTGACACCAAAATGGTTTACAATATTGTGTAACGGAAATGTTTCACACTATTAGTCTATTAATGATTTTGTATTTTAGTAGTATCCAAAATTAAGACTTTATAATAACATTATTATAATTATTATTATTAAATAGACTTTATAATAATGTTATTATAAAGTCTTAATTTTGGATACTACTAAAATACAAAAAGATTTTTAAATGACTTACATATAAGTCATATTAAAATCTTGGTATACCAATCAGTTATTTCACTAAGTTGAGCGATTGAGTGTTATTTTGTATTCCTTCAGCTATCGTATACGATATTTGCTATAGCAACTTTGCTATAGCAAATATCGTATACGATATAGTTATAGACATCTGATTGCCATTTCGTGTACTTACACGAAATGGCAATCAGATGTCTATAACTATCAAAAAATGAAGAAAATTTTCCACGAGTTAATTTTAAATAATCTTATCAAAACAACAATAGTCGCGACTTGAATAAAACTAAGAACTTTTGGTAGCTACTAAATAAATAACATCTTAAAAGAGAACAAGTATCCTAAGTTTTCAAATTAAGGTGAGGTAAGGTTTGTTGACAAAAACTTATCGAATTAATCAATGGTATACTTTAAACTTTCGCGAATTCACTTAGAAGAGTATTAAAACTTCAGAAACAAACACGCTGAAAACATTGAGCTAATAAATTAAAAATGTTGACCTCGTCAGGACTCCGGAGCTTGAATTCGTTCAGACTCTAAATAATACACGAACTTTTTCAGCAAAAATATGGTAACGTGACCTTACATCGCATGAAAATTAAGGTAAAATCACCAGTCATGGACAAGCGATTTTTTGAGGTTGAAACACTTTTCTGTAAAAATACCGACTCACAATACAGTCTCATAAAAACAGCACTTGTGTAGCTAATAGATGGGTCATAATAACAATGGTTCATCTTTTAAAATAAGGCTAAGTTGCACCTGACTTTGATCGTAACTATAACGATGACCGGTGTTTAAGTAAGATGGTGTAACCCAGCCTAAGTGTTTTATGAAAAACTACTTTGCAGCATTATAAAAACAAAAGGCTTCCTCATGGAAGTCTTAAGAAATTAAGATAATTTGGCTAGCCTTATAAGATCTTCATCGCCAGCTCATAGCAGTCAGTAGCTGAAGGGCTAAAAATTGTGATACTTGTTTGATTTTAATATTATTATATAGAAAACACATCTAATATACCTTTTAATTACAATTAATTATCATTGCTGATTATATTCCTTCCCATCGACACCGGATACCCAAGATTCATGCTTCAGCTTTCTAGAGCGCGGTTTGCAGCTCATATAAAGCTTAATGTGAACAAACTGACCTGACAAGCTTGATTGCACACTACACACGATGATTACTGACCCCATGACTTTCATGGATCACATGTGATCCAGTATAACCTGACAAGATACAAGAGGTTTGCAAATTCCATCACTCGACCTTGGCCAAGGACTTTTCAAAGTCAAACCAACTATGTACTTTTTTGATACCAATCCATCAGGTGTACTCAGAAATCTGATACGAATGTCAATAAAAACTTTGTACACAAAAAGCGTTGTCTTTAAACACTAGTTCATTATTATTTCAAGTAACTAGAGACCTTAAGCATTTAAATATTCAAGAACTTTAATATTTTTAGGGGTTAAAGAAGTTACATGGTCAGTTGGTAGCTCAAAAAATACCCGAACACTGGTTCGGGCTGCCTCTGGCTATTTTGCAACTTCTGTGTCAAGGTACACATAACTAGCATAGCATGATTTCAGCCAATAAATAGTCTAAAGCCTGGTCCGTGAGCACGTAGAATCCCGTCCAATGACCCCAAGCTACCCATCCTTATCCTTAGGCTTTAGCTAAAAGCCTCTCTCAAGATCCTTAAGGAAGAAATCATTTCAAGCTTTGTGGTTATCCTTGACTTATCTAGCTCTCATCCAGTCACTGACAGCTATTCTCTGAGTCTGTTTGCCGAGACATTACATGTTCGAGTCCGGACTACTACATGACTCAACACACTTGCGTATAAAATATGATACATACCAGTAAGGTCCAGATGCCTAAGGTCTACCAAGTCGGTGACCAGGGGCGCCAGACTCCTGGCGTCCATGCTGCCCGACCCGGTCACTGCTAGATGCGTCAGGTTCCTGAAGGTAGACGCTAGGAACTGAGCACCTGCTATTGACACCTGCAACAATTTATTGGAAAATATTAATATTTCAAGACATAAATGGGACGTCGTAAAGTCAATGATGACAAGCTTCACTTGGCAAATCTCCACTCTATCTCAAGAGAGTTAGGTTTTCCATTCGGTCATTCATCCGTTAAGTCTTTACATAAATATTGTGGAAAAGGAACGAATGCGTTCTCAATCCCGGAAAACCATTGCAGTATCAAAATGACTGATTAGAATTAAGCTAGCGCCCTTTAACATACTTTGCCGTGTACTTTGTATTACATTATATACATTTAGTTGCTAAGCCTAAATGGGAGGAGGGGGGTATATTATGCATTTTAATTTTGAGTTTGCTTTAAGTTTTAGCTGCATTGTTTACAGTCTAGTGTAGATAAGATGCCAGTGTTCAGCTAGATTTGTCATGGTCTGTCCTTACTAAACATTGTGTACATTCTACTGGAATAAGATGCCTCAGTGTACAGATCAGATGTGCTATGGTTTGTACTAGTTAATGAAACTCACCGGGCAAGCCTTCGTCCGCCACTCCCTCACAGCGCTAACGCACGGGCCGGCTCTTGCGCCGGCGCATCTTGCCGCGATCTCCAAAGGGCCGGCGGTCCTGACCCGCCGCCATACTTCTGGCCGTGTGCTGAGCCGCGCTACCAGCCTGGCCCAACGTCGGCACACGCGGGACATCCGACAGAGGTCTGATACCTGGAAAGAAATACAGATCAGTAAAGTTGTAATTGTAAACATCAGTTGGAAGTAAGATAGCCAGTTCTTCTGTGGTTTAGGATTCCGGATGAAGCTTGCTTCCACCTTCGGCCTGATCATCACTATTTATCAAGTGAGATGCAGGTGAAGGGCTTCCTCGTGGTGGATAAAAAGTTAGGTAGTTGACATTACCATGACGCTGATGACGCCTCAGTGAGCCAATGGTAAGAGAGTGAGTCTGGTAGTACTTATTATTATTCTGTGGTCTAGTTCTGGTATAACTTCTTCGGAAGCTACAGTACGGTTTTATTGTGATACTTATAGACATACAAGTAAAACTACGACGGTAAGATACACCACACGATGGAAATATATCCCCAACATTTTTAATACGTCAAAACGTAATTTCCTCTTAGAGTAGGCGCACACCGTTCATTTTTCGTCGGTCGATAGTTTAGTCGTGCAATTGATCAGTATGGGCATGTATGGGAGTGCGCACACTACGCCGATTCGATTTGGCCGATTCTTCATACAATTTAAAATCAGGCACAACTATCGGCCAACTAAAAATCAATGGTGTGCGCCTACTCTTATGCTTGGTAAAGCAATATGGTCTATGATAACATCAGTTGAAATTCAACTAATCACAGGCTTGAGATCTAATCAAGATACGATTGTCCCCACAAAAAATTAAGCCATATAAAACTACATTGTGTTTCAATACTGATATTAAGCGGAATTTATGAAAAGCCTAGTTTTAGCACAAAGTTAAAGGTTTCAGGGAAAAGTGTTGAACCCTCGCAGTCATTAGCGCTGTCACTCAAAAAAAGCTAATATTGACTGCCTCCGAGACTGACACGTGGAAAGAAAAGAGCCTTTAACCTTTTAATGGCACAAAATTAGATTTAATATTCAATTTGTTTGTCCCAAAAAAGTCACTGGAAAATATTGCGCTCGCAAAGTGAAAATGTACATTGAATTTCCACTGCAAATGTAGTCCACTATGTTGTATGTCCACTAATAGCTTTAATCCATTAATCCCACTCGTACCTATTCCTGTTAAAATTTACTGAAAAATATTGCAGCAAAACCTACAAATCGCTGAATAAAGGACAGATTGAATCGACAGTTGGCAAACCTATTGGTTGTATCAATTTGGATTCGAACCCACTACCCATTCCGATTAACTGGTCGAACGATTGGTCACGAAATCGACCAGAATTAAAGCTGCAGGAGGATCGCTTGCTTTTGTTTTATCTTTTTATCACTTGCTGACACAACAAAAGTTTAATTTACCATACTTCATGAAATCATACGAAACGGTGGTTATTATAATAAATCAATACGATTGGCTGATCCTCAAAGCTTCAAAAAACTAATACACATAAATAATAATGTATCGTTTCTCATGAAAACCAAAAGCTCTACTACATTTCCATAATTACTCGCACATGGCCGTTTTGTTTGTGTTGACTCCATTTAATAAGCTATGACTTACGGTATGCAATACATACCCTTAAGAGCCAAATCACACGAAGTTTTGCGGCACCGCACCGCAAAAATTTGGCCGTATCGCGCGACGTGAAGCCGCTCCACTATTTCTACGTAACTGCAAGCTGCAGTGGGGATTTCATAGAGATTTTCTGTTTGCGGTTGCAGTCTGCGGTCTGCAGTCCATCTTGCACTAGTACTTTAAGACGACGCAGCGACACCACTCCGGCATCGCACCACCGCAACGCAATGAATCGTGTGCTTTGGCTCTAACGCAATCGACAATCGTATAAAACAGGGCGATCCCTCAGAGCTATGTGTAATGAGATAATTAAATAGATATGGGACTGCACCACGGAATGCTGGTAATTTAGATCAACTCTTGTTAGCAAGGGTATTGCTAATGGGCAAATAAAGGGTAATAACTCTAGATTTGTCCAATAAAGTTAACAGTTCTTAATTTCCAGGCATAATTTAAATAAAGTCATTATCAGTAGTATCTAAGGACATTATCTGATTATAAAATCCTCATTATGTTGTTTACTTCAGACAGCAAAATATTTAGCTGGAAGTGTAACGAGCTGTATAAAATATCTCATTCTCCTCTATTCCTCTATTAGATCACAATTCTAAATTCAGATAAAAAACTGCTATCGAGATCAGTTTTGATCTCAACATTCAGCGCCTCTCGGTGGGAACGGTGGGTAATGTCTTCTGGGTAATAATTTAGCTTCCGTCATAATCACCGCAATTAGTATAAATCTAATAAAGTTTAATAACATTGTGTTGTAACTGTTAGAGTTGTGAACTGTATTTGTTTTAGATAGTACTTGTAATTTAATTTATCATGCTGTGTATACTAATTTTGGCTTACGGTCCAGTTTGTAAGCCTAGACTGTAAAATGTTTGTTGTAAAATCGTCTTACTCGCCTCAAGATAAGACAAAATCTTCAGCCACAGAGCATCGCTGAGGGTGTTATCCCTTCATCTCCTAGGCGGCCCGCAGTCAGCTAGCATATGGTAGCCTTGGTCCAGGCTCAGCTCGCTTAAGCCCAGTAGCGGCGTAAGGGGGGGGCGGTGGGGGCGGTCCGCCCCGGGTGCCAAGCATCAGGGGGTGACACAAGTCGCGCAGATTAGTACTCACTGGCACATCTGCATGGCAAATCTGCGGTCTATGTCATGATCNCGTTAGGTAACCCCAAAAACCAGGGGGTGCCTTAGGACTTATTACGGGGGGAGGGGGGTGATCGCCCCGGGTGCCAACCCATGCTACGCCGCCACTGCTTAAGCCAGCGGCAAGGGAGACAGCAGTCTTCGAGGGGGAAGCCTTGATAAGCGACGAAAATTCCTACTAACCTCAAGGTACGACAAAATCTTCAGCCACAGAGCATCGCTGAGGGTGTTATCCCTTCGTCTCCTAGGCGGCCCGCAGTCAGCCAGGGTATGGTAGCCTTGGTCCAGGCTCAGCTCACTCAGATCAGCGGCGAGGGAGATGGCACGCTCCAGGAGAGAGGGAGAAGCCTTAATAAATGACAAACGTCGTACAAATCTCAAGATAAGACAAAATCTTCAGCCATAAAGCATCGCTGAGGGTGTTAACCCTTCGTCTTCGAGGTGGCCCGCAGTCAGCCAGGGTATGGTAGCCTTGGTCCAGGCTCAACTCGCTTAAGTCAGCGGCGAGAGAGATGGCAAGCTCCGGGGGAGAGAGAGGCCTTGATAAGTATAAGACGTCGTACAAACCTCAAGATATGACAAAATCTTCAGCCACAGGGCATCACTAAGAGTATTATCCCTTCGTCTCCTAGGCGGCCCGCAGTCAGCCAGGGTATGGTAGCCTTGGTCCAGGTTCAGCTCGCTTAGGTTTACAGAGAGAGAAATGGCAAGCTCCGGGGGAGAGAGAGAGGCCTTGATAAGTATCAGACGTCGTACAAACCTCAAGATAAGACAGAATCTTCAGCCACAGAGCATCGCTGAGGGTGTTATCCCTTCGTCTCCTAGGCGGCCCGCAGTCAGCTAGCGTATGGTAGCCTTGGTCCAAGCTCAGCTCACTCAGATCAGCTGCGAGGGAGACAGCAGTCTTCGAGGGGGAAGCCTTGATAAGCGAAAATAAGTCATACTAAAACTAACCTCAAGATAAGACAGAATCTTCAGCCACAGAGCATCGCTGAGGGTGTTATCCCTTCGTCTCCTAGGCGGCCCGCAGTCAGCCAAGGTATGGTAGCCTTGGTCCAGGCTCAACTCGCTTAAGTCAGCGGCGAGGGAGATGGCAGGCTCCGGGGGAGAGGGAGGCCTAAATAAGCGACAAAAATTCCTACTAACCTCAAGGTACGACAAAATCTTCAGCCATAAAGCATCGCTGAGGGTGTTATCCCTTCGTCTCCTAGGCGGCCCGCAGTGAGCCAGGGTATGGTAGCCTTGGTCCAAGCTCAGCTCACTCAGATCAGCTGCGAGGGAGACAGCAGTCTTCGAGGGGGAAGCCTTGATAAGCGAAAATAAGTCATACCAACCTCAAGATAAGACAAAATCTTCAGCCACAGAGCATCGCTGAGGGTGTTATCCCTTCGTCTCTTAGGCGACCCGCAGTCAGCCAGGGTATGGTAACCTTGGTCCAGGTTCAGCTCGCTTAGGTTTACAGAGAGAAATGGCAAGCTCCGGGGGAGAGAGAGGCCTTGATAAGTATCGTACAAACCTCAAGATAAGACAGAATCTTCAGCCACAGAGCATCGCTGAGGGTGTTATCCCTTCGTCTCTTAGGCGACCCGCAGTCAGCCAGGGTATGGTAACCTTGGTCCAGGTTCAGCTCGCTTAGGTTTACAGAGAGAAATGGCAAGCTACGGGGGAGAGAGAGGCCTTGATAAGTATCGTACAAACCTCAAGATAAGACAGAATCTTCAGCCACAGAGCATCGCTGAGGGTGTTATCCCTTCGTCTTCTAGGCGGCTCGCAGTCAGCTAGCGTATGGTAGCCTTGGTCCAGGCTCTCAGCTCGCTTAGGTTTACAGAGAGAGATTGCAGGCTCTAGGGGAGAGAGAGGCCTTGATAAGCGACAAAAAGTCGTACAAACCTCAAGATAAGACAAAATCTTCAGCCACAGAGCATCGCTGAGGGTGTTATCCCTTCGTCTTCTAGGCGGCCCGCAGTCAGCTAGCGTGTGGTAGCCTTGGTCCAGGCTTAGCTCACTCAGATCAGCGGCGAGGGAGATGGCAGGCTCCGGGGGAGGGGGGGGCCTGCGACGCGCCCCCCCACACACCCCGGGGCCCGAACAGCTGCCACTGGACATGGTGCCGTGGCCCTGTGGACAAGGAGAAATTGTTGTTTCAAAATATATTTAAAAAGTTGGGGAAAACAAAAGGTTTTGCCTCTTTTAAATAGGAGAGTGTCTTTGGAGGCTAAAGTGACCCGATGATGCTGATAATTATCAGCTTATTAGTATTAATAAGGCAAAAAGTAAAGGCAAAAAATAAGGCAAAAAGATATAAGTGACAGAGATAGACACATAAAAACCTTATTTACACGGCATTCAGTTTGCCTTTTGTATCGATTTTTTTTTGTGGGCAATAAAGTTTTTAAATAAATAAGTAGGTACTCGTAGGTACAACAAATTAAGTTAAAATCTAAATAATATAATGTTTGGTTTGGTTTGAGGCTCAAAGATGATTTTTAATTAAGTATTTATTCATTGCTAGCTATGTCTACATTCGACAGGCAAAAATATACAGTGTGAGTCACGTTAAAGTGTACATATGAAAATATATGAAACTAGACCTATTTTTATCGACAAAAAAGAGGTCAAAATTTTTTTGAGTTTTTTTTTTAATTTTTTATAAAATTTTTTTTCTTCCAATTACTTCTTGTAAAGAAAACGTAATAACTTTTAAACTAAGCGGTATATCTTGATAAAATAAAAAAAGCAATAATGCTAAATAGAAGGCGATACTAAAAAAATACATAAAATACTCAAAAAATGCCAACAAATAATAAAAAGTGATACTTTTTGAAAAAAATCTGCTTTTAAATTCGTGTTTGTTTGGGTATTTGATAAATTTCTCCAAAAAATGCCCCTATAATAGGTGGTTTTTATTACTTTGTATTATTCTCTATCGTATTACCTTCGTAAAACCAAAAATCGCATGTCTCTATCCCTATCACAACATTTGCTATGATCGTTTGAACAAAGGCCTGCCACAACATTATTCTCCGCTACAGGTAGAGACAATTTAAATTTTAACTAAAATGCTTATTTTACTTCGAAATCTTTTGTTTTTATTTGAAATCTAACTTGTCTTTATCAAAATTACAAATGTAGAGCCATTTTCAGTTTCGTTGTTAACGAAGCGTTGAATGGCGCGCCCGGAGAGGCTTAGTTCAAACGATCATTGCAAACGTTGTGATAGGTATAGAGACATGCGATTTTTGGTTTTACGAAGGTAATACGATAGAGAATAATACAAAGTAATAAAAACCACCGGTTATAGGGGCATTTTTTGGAGAAATTTATCAAATAACCAAAAAAACACGAATTTAAAAGCAGTTTTTTTTTTTCAAAAAGTATCATTTTTTATTATCTGTTGGCCATTTTTGTGTATTTTATGTATTTTTTTAGTATCGCCTGTTATTTAGCATTATTATTGTTTTTATTTTATCAGGATATACCGCTTAGTTTAAAAGTAATTACGTTTTCTTTAGAATAACTAATTGGGAGAAAAAAAAATCTATAAAAAATTAAAAAAAAATCTCAAAAAAAATTTGACCTCTTTTTTGTCGATAAAAATAGGTCTAGTTTCATCTATTTTCATATGTACACTTTAACGTGACTCACACTGTATAGTAATTTCTATTCAAAACTGTATTTACACGCAAACATTTTAAAATATTGTTAATTTGAAATATGACATTAATTCTGACTAACCAAAAACCAGTTTTCAGTAAATACTCGTACATTATTATTCAGTCCATTTCGTAGATTAAAAAATCTTGTTTAATGTTACTGTTCGTGTTAAATTGTTATTGCAGTATTTATTTAATGCGAGATCCCATGTTATAACACTTATTTGAATCTCAGATTATTTTACCGATTCCTATTATTAATAATTTATGTAAGGAGATAAAAATTCACTGCCTCATTTCTAAAGAGAGTCAAGCAGTTAGATATATCTACATATTTTCTATATTATAGAAATAGTAAATAAATTCCAGACACAGAGTAGTGGTTTCGATTCATCGACCTACTGATTTAACTTTGCGAACGAATCCGCGATATCTACATATACATTTTCAGGTAGGAGTTCCAATGCATATTAAATGTAATCATTAAGACTTGTAATGTAGGATTTGATTTATTTTCAACCTGGATTGCAATTAGAATTAACATTAACGAAAGGTCGCGTGGTGCGTCCAAATGTAAGTGGGTTAACATATGGTCCCACATTAATTCAAATTAAAGATTTACATAAGGATGTTACTTAGATAACTTCCTCCTAGCGACCGGGCACAGTTATGCAGTTTCTCTATTTAAATTTAAAATATGCAAGTAATATTGTCCCCAGGCCTTCGCCCGCTTTGTTTTTAGTCGATTATAGAAAGATTTATTATCAAAAACATTAAATTGAATTTTGTATCATATTAAGAATACGTTGGGATTCATATAAAAATGTCATTTCATCCAATAAGCATTATTTTTTGCAAAAAACCTAAGTCATAAGACTTGAAACATCTTAGAGATGTCTCTGGCAGTCAAAAACTTCCTCGGCAACCTAATTTACGTGCACATTTTGTTAATGTTTTTGTAGTTACATTTTACAGAATATTGTAGTTATAATTATTTATTACCTAACTAACGCTCACCCGTCTAATTTTTATTCTGAACTGATTATCTAGTTACAAGTCTTTTCTGGTAGAAGATTGCGGGTGAAAATAGTCAGAGCATCCACAGTCCACACCTATGGCTTTGGCCTCATGAACCCGGTTCTCTCAATTGCCGGAGGACACTTTACTAAGATAAAAAGGTTGAGTATCCTCCATAACTCTTTACAGACTTTTCCTCGAGATAAAAATGGTCATTTATTACACCGATAAAAAAAGTTAAAAGTACCTATGTAAGAGGCATTTTGTAAGTAACAAAAGACGACTTCCTCCAAACTAGTAGCTACAGCTTATAATAAAAGAAGATCCCTCAACCTTCAAAAAAATACGCTTATAATGGAACACTCATGCAAATAAATTAATTTATCAACAGTATTTTGCCTCATCCATATTAAAAACTAGGTCTTTTATTTTTCAAAATCAAACTCTTCAATTATCCAGGACGAGCTGGACTTCGCATGAATATAAATTTTTAAAATTGCTCTATTAATGCCATGTTATTGATAAGTGCGGCAGGTGAGGCCCGCATTCCTCGCCGATCCAGCTTTTGGTCTTACTCGTCCTAGGTTAGTTACGGAACGCGACAATGAGCGACAGACGCGACAATAAGCGACGCTACGTAATGCGATCAATACTTCACGTGACGTATGACAGATGTCATGACACGCGACTAAGGCTAAGTTACACCATTTTATTTTTACTTTGACAAAAGTCAAAAATCTGTCAAAGTCCATACAAAAAGCACCGGTTATCGTTATAGTGTCAAAATGTCACTCTTAAGTGCACGTTTACACTATATTATTATGTCTCGATCCATTTCCCGCATAGTTTAACTGCGCCATAACACAACGACTACTTGATATTTCGTAACGGGTCGCGTCGCATAGCATCGCGTCGCTTTGTATCGTTTGTCGTTTACCTAGGACAACGGGTTAGCTCTAGTCTAGCCTAGTCAGCATCTTTAGATTATTAATAGCAATTTTAAGTTTTCGTGTTCTATTTTCAGTAGTTCTTTTCATAGTCTATTTTCGCTATCTTGTTTTAACAAGCCTTATTGATTCAATTAATATTCCAAAAAAGAGGTTTTCATTAAAAATATTTTATTAATATTATAGAATAGATAACACTTGTAGGAGTTTTTCAATTAACAGGGTGTATTAAAATCGCGTTCATTTACTTTTTATACGCAACTAGGAGATATCACGAAACGATCAAATTGATAAAAAAAATTAATTACATAGGTACACTGTCTACATGCACTGGGGTAATTAATTATAAGCATGATGGTATTCGTAATGATGATTAATGTACATTAAGAACCATAGTTTGCGTAATCCGTGTGGCCATTTTGTTCCATACAAATATAGATTTGGCGTATTCATTTTTTCCATATAAAAGTATTTCGGTTCTCTGTCTTTATACTTAGTTTATACCACATAGTTCACTATGTTATTTTATGTAATAGCACCGACGCGTAACAAATCAGTATTGTTGATTTTATTTTCAAACACAAATCTTACTACGTAAAGAAATGTTTTCTTTTAAACTTATTCTCAGAATTATTACTTAGGTATTGTAATCTGATAAATAATCGTGTCATCAAAACGAGTAGGTTCCGATGATTCCGTCTCACGATATTCCCCATTCATTATTTTAGCAAGTTGCGCATGGAATTCAGAAATTTTCATAAAATGTTTCATGTGGGTGATCTGAAGATCTCATAAAGGTAGCAAGAAGACGCTGGATGCAGGCCGCTGCCAACCGGTCATAATGGAAGTCATTGAAAGAGGCCTATGTTCAGCAGTGGACGTCCTATGGCTGAAACGGTGATGATGATGATGACGATACGGGTAATATCACATCGGTCATTGTATCAATGTAATTCCACCTTTACACAACCATGATAGCATATCGTAGGCATATAATTAAGCGTGTTGACCTTATTGTGCAATTAAACGGGCTTATCTTCACAATGGTTGCATAAATCAAACCAGTTTGTCATTCGTGCTTCAGTCATGTTGAGAACACGCCACCAGGACTGGGTACGGCTGCGGTCGGATACGAGCGGTTTGGCACAAGCGGTTTCAATTACAAGCGATGGCACACAAAATAACTATTTACAAGATTTTATTTGACTTCCCCTGTTAGTTAGTAGGTGTGGGACAAATATTGAAACTTATTTTTTTAGTTTAGGTTATAATAGAGTCTAGAACTGGTCGCAAAATGCAAGCAGTGTCATTGTGATGATGAGGAGACCATTTATTATGTCAGGATGTTTGAAATTAATCCTTGTGATCAAATTGACAATCAGAAACCACAAATTAAATAAATCTGTAACTCTATCATCGAACTTAGCTACAATATCAGGAAATGAAACAGTTTTCACAACCATACTTACTTAAAATTATTAAACCATTAACATAAAACTTT